CTCTCTCACACTGTCTGTAACTCTGCCTGTCAAATAAATAAATAAATAATCCTTAAAAAAATGATAGTGAAGAGTTACATGCAATGAACCTAATAATTCATTGAGCCCACATTTATAAACAAATGAGAGATAAGGAACATTTTTCAGTAGGAAAAAATCTAACAAACATAGAAGAAATGATGAAACTAGGAAACCAGCATTTGGCAACCATCATAACTGATTCAGACAAGGATCATTAATGAATGCCAAAACTAGCTTGATAAGTAAAAGAAATTTACATCATTTCAAAGAGTTTCCCCATAAGATATGTATTGATTATGAAGAAACTAGGTACAACGTAGAAACCTGGGTGCTATCAGCTTAGCCAGGAGATCAAGCCAGTCATGGAACAGGCTGACACTGTGTGCCATGAGAACATCACTTCTGCTGAAAGTGCCTAACATGCACCTACTCACAACACAAAACAAACCAAATTAAGGACTAGCCTACGAAATAGCCCACATACTGAAAAATGTCAACAGCATGAAATACTGAGAAACCAAAGAACTGTCCTCTCCTTTAATCTCTAGAGTAATGGAGGGAAAAAAAAGAGACAATTGAATAAAATATATTAACTGAAATTTGATTTTGTTGCAAAGCACATTACTTGGTTAACTGGAGAAACCTGAGTAAGGACTGTAGCTTACTGCATAAATTACATCAATGTTAATTTTCTGTGGTTATGTAAAGACAGTGTCCCTACTGTCAGGAAATAAACACTTTAATATACAGATGTTAGGGGAAATCATGTCCAAAGCTAAATTTCAACAGTCAGAAAGGCAAAAGTATGCATATGAATGGGGTGAGGGGGAGGAAGTAGTGTGCGGATAAAGCTTACAAGGTGAAATTGGTAAAACATTAATAAGTGAAAGGAATATGTAAATTCTTTATCCCATTCTTCCAACGAAATTATATCAAAACCAACACGTAAAAGAAAACAAGAGTTAACGTTGACCAAAAAGCTGCTAGTTTCATCTGTTTGGGGTAAAGGAACCATATTGTAAAAGATGCAGACCATATTATAAAAGATGAAGTCGTAGTTGAGACTATGGGCTTTACAATGAGACCTCAGTTCAAATTCCGGCTGTGTTGATATGACTTAGCGCAAGCTGCATTATCTTCTGATCTTTTTTTTCCCTTATATGTTTATAGGAATAATCTATTGGATTCTTGGAGGATCTGGTGAAATCAAGCCCATCAAGGGTTTACAACAACAGATACCAGTTCCAGAACAAAACTGCTTTAGTCTGAACCTCACTTTGTACTATCGTTGTGACCCTGGGCAAGTTATTCAACCTTCTGTATCTCAGTTTTCTCATCAGCACACATAGTAATAACAATACCTACCTGAAAGGTTTCTGGGGAAGACCACACTGATAGAAGCACTTTTGAATAGTACCTAGTACATTGCCAGCACTGTAAGACTATCAGTTATTTTTATTACTAGCCAGAACTTCTACAGAATAAGAATTCAAAAAAATATTATTTTATCATTAAGCACATAATATCACTATAATTTTTATAAGAACTTGATGGTAAATAAAAGCAAAATTTCCTTTTTCCCTTATGATAGGCAGACCAAAGCACAATAGAGAGAAAGGGGCCAAAAAGTACAGAAAGGGAAACTGAAATGTGAAAGACATAGAATCACTCATTAAATGAGATCTTTAAGATATCAGTTCCCTCTTTGTGAGTAATGCTGAGGACTTCAGGTATTTTGGATGAAAGCATGAGACAGAATGCATTTTTAAGTGTAACTTTGACTACATAAGACACATATACTTTAAGTTTCTTCTTTTATAGAATGCATTTTTTTTTTTTTTTTTACTTTGAGAAAGAAAGAGTGTGAGCAAGTGACAGTCTGCGGTTCACCACTAAATGCCCACAAGAGCCAAGACTGTGGCCAGAAACAGGAGCCCAGAACTCAACCCAGGTCTTGCACAAGGGTGGCAGGGACTCAACAACTTCAGCCATCACCTGGTGCCTCCCACAGTGCCCACTGGTAGGAAGCTGGAATCAGGAGCAAGAGTTGGGACTCAGACCCAGGCACTCCAATATGGGACAAGGGTGTCACAACAGGAAATGGTAATAAGGGGCAGCTGGGACTTACTATACAAATATTATACACCAAACACTGCATTTAAAAAAAAAAAAAAAAAAGCCTGAGGCCAGCGCTGTGGTGCAGCAGGTTAAAGCCCTGGCCTGATGCGCTGGCATCCCATTTGGGTGCCAGTTCTAGTCACAGCTGTTCCACTTCCGATCCTGCCCCTGCACCCCTGTGGGAGACCCAGAAGAAGCTCCTGGCTCCAGCTCTGGCCACTGTGGCCATCTGGGGAGTGCACCAGCAGAAGGAAGACCTCTCTCTCTGCCTCTACCTCTCTGTAATTTGTCTTTCAAATAAATACATCTTTAAAAAAAAAAAAAAAAAACCAGCTTTCTCACAGTACAGAAAATAGCATGGAAACCCGGACTGGTTCAGTGATTTGTAGAATGAACTCAATGATTCCAGGAGCTATGACTAGAATCCAGCGAGCCATTTAAAACCTTTGTGGAAAACTCTTCCTCTCCAGTAACAGTGCTTCTATTTATTGTCCAAATATACAACTCTTGTCAACATTTTAAAAACATTCTTCATTTTGAGAATTTCCAAAACATACAAAAGCAAGCAGCAGCAGGTGCAGTAACTCCCAGGTGCCCACTCCCAGGGTCCAGCAATGTGTGCTATCATTGCTTTGCCTTTCCTTCTGCACACCTTTGCTTCCTAAAGCACTGAAAAACAAATCTTAGACATCTCATTAGAACTCCAGAATCTCTCCACACATTAGGGTAAAATAACAGTTCATTTAGAACAGTCATTCTTCTCTGATCATCTTAAAAATGTCTTCCTTCAATAAGATCTTGATTCAAAGTAACCTAACAAGGTCTACACATTATTTTTGGAAGACATGTCACACTGTACAACAGTCCCCTCCCCTTCCTTTCTTTTTAAAAAATGCTATTTATACATGAAGAAACTAGGTCATTTTTTTCTGTAGAAATTCTCAAGTTCCTAACTTAGTAGTTACAGCCAGTACAATGTGTTTCTCTGTCTCCTTTACTTTCTGTAAGGTACTATCAGAGCCGGGAAGAGGTTTTTTTCACTGCTGTTTCCTGAACGTTTGGGTGGCATCATCTACTGTCAAATGCAGCCTTATGAGGCATCTACTATCCAATTGTCTTCTGTTACTTATTATAATAGGGTTTCTATAGCCTCCATTCATGTGAGTTCCTAAAAGTTTATCCAAGAAAATATATCCATGGAACTATGCATGTGGTGATCAAGCTACCAGAGCTGACTGAAGACCACAGAGGTTATAGGTCAGCAGCTGGGCAAACAGGGCAGTAATTTTCTTCAGTTAGATACAAGGCTGGAAAGTAGAGGAGAGATGAAAGATTTGGCTAGAGATGGAGAGAAGGCCAAGGGATGAGGATTTAAAAAGCAGGATACTGGGTTCCTATCATATCTGAAAGATATTTATATTTCCAAATAAACTAACACTTAAAGTGATGTTAGTTCTCCAAAATGGCCTTGCACAAATTCTCCCACCCGGTTTTTTTTTGTTTTTTTTAAGATTTATTTATTTATTTAAAAGTCAGAGTTACACAGAGAGGAAGAGATCTTTCATTCACTGGTTCACTCCCCAGATGGCCCGATGGCTGGATTCAAAGCCAGGAACTTCTTCCGGGTCTCCCACATGGGTACAGTGTTCCAAGGACTTGGGCCATCTTCTACTGCTTTCCCAGGCCATAGCAGAGAGCAGGATCAGAAGTGGAGTAGCAGAGTCTTGAACCAGTGCCCATATGGGATGCCCATGCTTCAGCCCGCCAAAGCACCAGCCCCTCTCCCACCATTCTTAACAGAAAGATACTGATCTCCAAATCAAAGGTTCTAAAACTTGTTTGGGGGCTGGTGCTGTGGCACCTGTAGTGCCATCACCTGTAGTACCACCATCCCATATGGGCGCCGGTTTGAGTCCTGGCTGCTCTATTTCTGATCCAGCTCTCTGCTGTGACCTGGGAAAGCAGTACAGGATGACCCAAGTCCTTGGGCCCCTGCACCCACATGGGAGACCCAGATGAAGCTCCTGGCTTCTGGCTTCGGATCAGCGCAGCTCTGGCCATGGCAGCCTCTGGATAGTGAATCAGCAGATGGAAAACCTCTCTCTGCTTCACCTTTTCTCTCTGTGTAACTGACTTTCAAGTAAATAATAAATAAATCTTTAAAAAAAGACCTTGCCTGAAACACAGATTTTGCTGGGGAGCTTTTAAAATACTGAAGCCTATGTCCTACTCAATCAACTCCATCTCAAGTGGTCTGAGACGGGAATGAGTAATAACAGCAGTTTTCAAGTCTCCAGAGGTGACTCCACCATGCAGCTATACTTTGTAACCGCTGACAGCAATGCATGCACAAGCGTATCGGACAGGCACTGTTGGAAGCACTTTCCATATACCAGTTCAGTCCTTACTTTACAAGTGAGAAACAGAGAGGGGAGGTAAACCTGCCCAAGATCTGGGACCCAGCAAGCTAAGGGCAGACAGAATTTTTAACCCCAGGAAGTTTAGATTCACTGCCCATGCTTTCAACCAGCATGCTGTACCAACCCCCATGTGCGAATTACACTTGTGTTCTTACACTGCAAATAAAGTAATCAAAGGAAAATATTCAAAGGGACATAACTAATTTTCTCTTTCTTAGAAATAGTACAGTGGCATCTTGGGTGAAGATACCAACAAAGGCTCATTAGCAAAGTAAAAAAAAAAAAGATAAACAGAGAAGATTCAAATTCAAGATTTTCTACACATTTTCAGTAGTTTCCCATATATTATCTTACTCAGTATAATTATTCAATGGTAACGGCTTTAGTTTCACAACCTGAAGTAACAATGAATTATACTTGTATTTACAAAAAAAGTCCTACCTATTTCAGTTCTGCTGACTCCAATTCCATTATAAATTCTGAGATAATTAAAGTGACAAGAACCAGAACCTTCAATGTCAAAGTCACCAAACTTGATGCGAATTCTCTCTCCAGTCTTCACACGGATCTCCCATTCACAAACAGTACTGTTGGGGTAGGTCTGTGGATAGTTTCTGGACGTAAGGGTTCCACTTTCAGGGCCCAGTACAGTATGTCCACATCCATCACCTTTAAAAAAAAAAAAAAGGTTCAAAGAATGAGAAATTGTTCTCACATCTTACACTATAACCAATAAGGAATTTTTTGTGAAGACTGCAAAAAGGTATTTTATAGCATCAACACTTTCTTTAAACAAAACAGGTAACAGTCACATGTGGGGAATCTTTTTTGGTCAAGGGCCATTTGGAAGTTTATAACATGTGTAGGCCATACAAAATTATCAAATTAAAAATTAGTCTGCTATAGATTTATTGAATTAAGTCCTATCTGTGGTTGCCTTGGCAGAGCCAAACCAAATGATCATGTGGGCTTTTTATGGTTTGGGGGCTGGATGTTCTCCATCCTTGGTATAGCTATTCACTGGAGCCATGTAATGCCAAGTTAGGTAGAAATAATCAATGATCACCTACAAAATTTTTCAGTTAAAGGAAACTTCCAAAATGAACAAGTAAAAGTAAATGAAAATAAAATATGTATGCATATCATAATAAATCCAATCTTTAAAAGAATGTCAATTTACAGCAATTGCTCAAAATATATAGTACAAAAATGTTATCAGCTTCATTTATTAATTTATGAGCATTACAAATTCCTTCTAAAATTTCTAATAAGCTGAATGGCTTCTAAAAAACAATCTGCAATAAATATTATGCAAATTGACCATATTAATTATAAGGTACTTTTAAAAAGATTTATTATTTGAAAGGCAGAGTTACAGAGAGGCAGAGAGAAGGAGGTCTTCTATCCGCTGGTTCATTCCCCAAATGGCCACAATGACCAAAGCTGGGCCCATCCGAAGCCAGGAGCTTCCTCTGGGTCTCGCATGTGGGTGCAGGGGCCCATGCACTTGGGCCAACTTCTACTGCTTTCCCAGACCATAGCAGAGAGCTGGATTGGAAGTGGAACAGCCAGGACTTGAACCAGCACCTATATGAGATGCCAGCACTGAAGGTGGTGGCTTCACCCACTATGCCACATTAGCAGCACCAAGGTACTGCTTCTTGAAAACATTAAAGGTATTTATTTAATGTTTTGATGAAATTTCACATTTTAGTTGTCTTTCCCTTAATGCCTTATTTTTTCCTTATCGAATGAAAAGAAAAAACAGCATTTTAATGATTAAAGACTAGGAATAATGACTTCGTATTTTGGTAGTGGTGGTATTTGCTCCAAAAATTTCTTCAGCACCTGTACCCAGAAACTTATAGGTAGCATATTACTTTGCAAAAATGAAATATTTCCATTGTCCCTTTTATCATAGTTTGTCTTTTTTTACAAAGAGCACCCACAAGGAAGCATTAATTAATGTTCATTTAGTAGTTTCAGCTGCCTCTTTAATTTACTGGCTAGCATTTCATAAGTGATGGGATTCAAATAAATCTAATAGGGTGATGGATATATTCTTTCAAAATAATATTTGTTCCTTGAAGTTACTTATAATTATCTTCTGGAATAATACAGCACTTATACACACAAAAAACTACACTAAAAGGGGCATCATTGGGTTTTAACTTCAATATATATATTCTATTATCATGATTTTATTCTTTTGAAGAATATGGTACTGATATAATTTATTAGAACAGATGATTGCTTTAAGGAAACTATAAATAAGGACTTCACATAATATCTAGCAAGTAGAATCTAAATTTTTTTTAAAGATTTTTTATTTGAAAGGCAGAATACAAGGCCTGGTGCCATGGCTCACTTGGTTAATCCTCCGCCTGTGGCACTGGCATCCCATATGGGCACCAGGTTCTAGTCCTGGTTGCACCTCTTCCAGTCCAGCTCTCTGCTGTGGCTAAAACTGGGCCAATTCAAAGCCAGAAGCCTCTTTAGGGTCTCCCATATGGTGCAGGGACCCAAGTACTTATGCCATCCTCTGCTGCTTTCTCAGGCGCATTAGCAAGGAATTGGATCAGAAGCGGAGCAGCTGGGACTCTAACCATTGCCGTAGGCTTTACTTACTACTCCACAGCTCAGGCCCCATGCTAAATGTTTTTAATTGAATGAATACACAAACTTTATCCTATGAGAAAGTAATTTCAAACTCATTTCAAAATTAATAGAACAGGGGGCTGGCTCTGTTGTGTAGAAGATTAAGCCTGTGCCTGCAGTGCCAGCACCCATGTGGGCACCAGCTGAGTCCCAGCAGCTCCACTACCAATCCAGCTCTCTGCTTATGGCCTGGGAAAAGCAGCAGAAGATGGCCCAAGTGCTTGAACCCCTGCACCCATGTGGGAAACCCACGAGCAGCTCCTGGCTCAGGCCTGGTGCAGCTTTGGTCATTGTGACCATTTAGAGAGTGAAGCAGAGGACAGAAGATCTGTTTGCCTTTCAAATAAATAAATGAATGCTTAAAAAAAAAAAACTCTGCACTCAAATTTTTATAATACTTTAAAAAATTACATCCTTTGCTGATACAGACATTTGATAATGAAGCCCAAATAATTATTGTTTCTTAGACTATTTTTAAAGGTCAGTGATGAAATCTGGCTTCAACAAATACCTCTCATAAAAAGCTTAGATTTTAATCAATAATAAACATTAGTAATCTTCTACATCTGCTTTTATTAAGCACTAGACACAGCAGCTGAATAATATAAGACTATATAAGGGTAGAATGAAAAAATGTGGAATTTTGTGCACTATACCTGCTGATCTTTTGCAAATATAAAACTTTGGATGTTATACAATCAAGAAAAAACAACCACAAATTTCTCCTGAAATTACCACAAAAATACCTTGAATATTTCTGCTGGCTATCAGCTAAATTAAAAACATACAGGTATAAAACCTGTACTGTGAAAGTAAGTGAACTTTAATGTAAGGAAATTCTGAGACTCATCAACATTCTTTCGTTAAAGAAAAAAACCATGAGAGTTTCTAAAATTAGGAAACGCATCAGAAATATTCTATTACTATTGGAAAGATGAAAACATGCTTCCTGGAAGCATTTCAAGCTTTAAAAAGTAAACACTGAATAAATGAAATAACTCAAAAGATAAATGTATTTCTTTAACAAACTGAGTCAGAGGCTTTTTAACTTATTAGAAATGCTGATGGATTGCAGAAAGTCAAGACTTTCCCATGAACAGCTGAATCTAATACTTTGTAATGGTAGATTGTCATATTTAAGTACTTCACATAGGCTATTCAACTTACGGCTGTCATTTCACAACAAATTTTATAGAAAGAGTACAAGTAAAATGTTAGGAGTAATTTTTATGCTCAGTTCATGTTTTAGTCACAATAAATAAACAAAATGTTTTTTGTCCTTTCCATCATAAAGCATGATTTCTACAAATAAAGTAAATACTAGCTGATAAAAATCAGGATATTTGCATGCACGCTGATGAAGAAAATAATTAAAATGGAGCTCTCTTCAGAATCTTGTGGAAGGGGAGGAAGGGCATGAACAGCCCACAAGTAACTTGCCAAGAATGTTCTAAAATATGTGATGGAGTTCAGAGTTTCCTCCTCTTGCAAACAAGTTGATATGCACCAGAAACCAAAGTTAAAAGTCTCGATCCACTTCAATGAATAGTATGTCAAAGAATGTCTGATAAGTTTAACCCGACTTAGATAAGCAGCTAAGCCAAGCACCTACTACTATGGACGTCTATGTTTACAATGAGGTAGTTTGAAAGGAAAGCCTGGGCATTTATAAATTCATTAGGCCAGCAGCTTCACGTGTTTTTCTGTTATTCCAAAGAAAATAACGTTTTACACTGTGACGCTATATACGCTGGCATGCAGATGCTTGACCCACTGATGGCCCCCACCTGCAGTCTGAGAAACACTATACTTTGCATCCAAAGGTCATAAAATTGAATTTGCAAAGCAGAAGATCTTGTCTTCACTTTCATCTGCAATTTAGTAATGAGTTTCTAGTATATATTTATAGTTCTTAAAAATAAAGCCTACTCAAAATATTTAAAAGTAAAGCTAAAATTTGGAAAATGCTATTTTATCAATGAGACACCTAATACACTCAAAGAGGGGAAGATATTCCTCCAGGCCCCCACTTGGTAGTATCTGGAGATATCTTTGGTTGTCACAACCAGAAAGGGAGGGGTGTTACTGGCTTCTAGCCTTCTAGCGGATAGACTCCAGGAATGCGACTTAAGCAACTTAGAAGGCACAAGACGCCCCACCCCCAAACAATGCTGGCCCCTAAATGTGAATAGTGCTGAAGTTAAGAAGCGCTGACTTCCAGCCAAAGCTAGGAAATCTCAGGCTGAAGGTCTGGTTTAATTCTTGGCTGGGTTTCATCTGGCCACAGGGTAAAGTTGTTCTACTCACCAAGGGTACAACTCAGGGAAGAGTTTTCTCCCAAAGTCCAGCAATTTTACTAAAGAATCTTATGTTACTACTTCCCTATATTTTTTTATAAAACAAATAAATGGAATGTTTTATGTTTCAAAAGGAAAAAAAAAAGGGTCCTTTTTATTGTCTACAGATTTCAAATGATCCTTTCCCCCTGGATCAAGTGCTTTCAATATTAGGGAGAATAGGTACTAACAAGGTCAGGAAGAATCATCACCAATTCCTCTGATTAGCTTTGTACACTGAGAAGAATGATTTGTGACGAGGCTACACCACTTACTTTTACTCATTTTCACAAGACAGAATTGACATAAAGATCTTAACTATATAGAGAAAACGACTACTAAAGTGGATATTACAGGACCAGCTCATACAGTCTAATAACTCCAACATCACCAATTTTTTCCTTCTTCAATTCCATCATCATTACCATCACTGTCAACTTCTCTTCCACCTCATCCCCTAAAGGATCATCATCAGATTCTGACTATAAGTGGGTAGAAGCCTATTAATGTAATTTTTAAATTTTAATTTTATTTCAGTGCAGAAACAGCACTGGAATTTGATCTCACTGCTGTGTTGCTCAGCTACAGATTTATCTAGGGGATTACTCAGAGAACATGTGTTCACTTCCTCGGAAGAGTGTAAGGTCAGATGTGTTAAGCCAGATACGAATTTTT